TGGCAACAAAAACAAAATAAATGTATTACTTAAAATAAAGGAAGGACGCTCTTCAAAAAGGCACCTAATTTACAAATAACTTTTATCTTATTGGATTGTAATAACAAAATTGACTTAATCATAGATGGACGATTTATATAATACTTTGGCATAAGTTTTTGTCTGAGATTCATTACACTTACATTTTTACACTCAAACAGGATATGAAACTCATTGCCAATACAGTTATCATTACAAAGATTACAAAACCTCTGGCTTCTGTCCAGACCTTTATATCTTCCAGTGACTTTTGGGATTCTGGTATTATTCGTCCTGAAGTTACAAATGGCCTGTCTATACTTTTGATTTTCACACAATAAATACTTTTCTAACGTAAATTCTTGTTTAAACTCAACATAAATATCACATGATGTCATACTATAAAGTTCACTTTGCCATTTTTGCAGAAACTGATCTTTAAGTCTCTGTTCGACACTGTTACTACATGCTTGAGACAGCCAGAGATAAGACAGACCACAATCGTCCAGTATCTGCTTCACTTGCAGGCAGGGGCGGATCTATGGGTGGGCCTGGGTGGCCCACCCAGATGGACAGCTTGCCCACCCAGTAAGATTCATGAAAAAAATAAAAGTAAATAAATTAATAATAAAAAAAAAACATAATTCATAACGAATTATCATAGACTCTGCTTTAAATGTTTAATTGTCATTTCTGTTTTATTGAGAAATTTCAAAATTAAATTAAAAACAAAAAAAAAGAACTTCCTTTCTTATGTCATGCACACGCCTGAGTTCTGTAGGCCTGTAAAAACTCTGACCAATCCCTGCCATTCGGTGTGAATGGAAAGAACCAATCAGATGCCTTCATGTCTCGTATTGCCTGAGCCCCCCTCCNAGGCCTGTAAAAACTCTGACCAATCCCTGCCATTCGGTGTGAATGGAAAGAACCAATCAGATGCCTTCATGTCTCGTATTGCCTGAGCCCCCCTCCATCCCTCCCTCCCTCCTCCCTGCAAGCACTAATCACATGTCACCATTGCCGGAAATATTCAGCACACTCCTCAGCAGAAATACTGAGTTAGCAGGAGTTTGCTGCACAATGGCAGAGAAAATGCAGCCAATAGCAACACTTCCAGTGTTACTTGTAACGGCTCGCCCCACTAAACAGGCTGAGAAGAGAAAGTCAGAGGCAGAAAAGGCTGCGACGAAAAAGGCTTTGGATAAAGTGAGAGGACAAAACAGACATCAACAGCAGTCCAGCTTTTGAACGGTGGAGACAACTGAGGGAGCTGAAGGGCCTGAAAAGTGATGCAGAGGTTGCAGTCTTTCTGTTGGACAGGTAATTATTTATTTGCTTTGGGGGGATTTGTTATTTTACTCGGCTCTCCTCTGCTCTGCTGACTGCAGGATGGGCGTTCAGGCATGTCTGGGCTCGTGGCTTTGGACGGAGCACTGACGGGAGGGGGAGCAGGGGGTGGAGCCTCCAGCTCTCCAACATTACCAACTATAGCTTTAAGTAAACGGAGAAAACATGTCTCTCATTGTTTAATAGCAGCAAAACAATAAGGCTTCATCAAATATATCAATATGTCCAAATATATACATTAACTGAGAGTTATAAAACAGAATCAAGCATCACACGGCTTTACAAATGTGCCGAAAAATAACGTGTATGCATATTTCTGGCTTTGTGCGGGCACACAGTTTTAGTCATGTTTTAGTATGTTCTTGTTACTAAATCCACAGACATCTCAGCTTTAAAAATAATCAGGCCCATCCAAATTTTTGCAGGCCCACCCATTACCTACGTTCTGGCTCCGCCACTGCTTGCAGGATCCATGGAGACACAAATACATTTAAATTATACAGTCTAAATAAACATTCGTACATTATCCTATTTAATTTACTTTCTTTACCTTCAATCAGCTTTACCCAATAGCTGATAACTCTCTTTTTAACTGCAACACACAGTGGATACCTCCCCAACTCTCCATAGACCATGTTATTACATGTTGATGTTTTAACTTTTAGAATATATTTGAGGAATTTGAGATGTAATTTTTCTAGCACATCAATTTTTTCAAATCCCCAAACCTCACACGCATATAACATGACTGGTGAAACCAATTTGTCAAAGAGGTCTAATGTGACATCTACAGGTAGGTCATGTGTTCTACTTCTACAAAGGAGGGCATACATAGCACGAGACGCCTGCTTGTGCAAAAAATCGGATGGACTTCCCGGATACCATCTAAGCACTGAATTGTCCTCGTATGCTCTACGTCTTGTGAATGTCGTTTGTATTTTAAATTGTGAGCCACAGCCGCCTTGTTGCTCAAGACAAATTTCCTCTCTGAGGACAATAAAGTTATTCTGATTCTGATTCTGATTATACAACTCATCAATAGCAATTTTAAATGAACCATTATAGTTCATAGTGATCCCCAGATATTTAAAACAATGAACAACTTCTAAATTTTCTCCATTACAAACAAACTTAAATTTGCTGGTGGCAGCTTTTCTGGGTCCAAACACTGTGACCTTAGTTTTTTCGCTATTGATCTTCAGTTTCCATTTCTCACAGAAACCACACATCAAGTCTATTGCTTTCTGTAGCCCCTCCTTTTAAGTAGACATGACAATTGTATCATCCGCGTACAACAGTACCATAAGTTGCATATAATTATCAATCATTTCATCATCAAAGTTAATAGACTGACAGCCATTACATATCAGGTAATCCTCTAAATCATTAATAAACAGTGCAAACAGCAATGGAGATAAATTTTCGCCCTGCCTAACACGCTAAACTAACACCTGCTTTTAGCAATTTATACCAGAGAGCATCCCTCCAGACTGAATCAAAAGCCTTACTGTAATCAATAAAGGAACAGAATAGTCTCCTCTTTTTGAAACAAAATAAATCAATGATGTGTTTCAACCAAAACATATGATCAGTGGTGGAATAGCTCTTTCTAAATCCTGCCTGGTTTTCCCTCAGGATAGAATTGTCCTCACAGAACTTAAATAGTCTTGTGTTTAGTATATTTGTAAATAGTTTACCCAAACAACTCAAAAGTGTGATGCCTCTATAATTAACCCAATCTGCAGCATCACCTTTTTTCTTAAAGATTGGCACTGTTGGGATTCACAGGACCACAGATGATTTATCATTTGGTAAAATCATCACTGGGCATTTAAAGGCCTTTTCCTCTGCATGCTCTTTGTTTTCCAAACAAAGACAGTTATTTGACACCCATCTCCAGGAGGTCTCACCTCACACCTCAGTGAAACACAAGTCTCACAACTTGATTGGACAGTACTGTTACAGTGACATGCCTCTCTGTGATGTCACCAAACTCTAAGCTAAGTCCTGCTCCTTTCAAGCACTCTCTTGCTCTCCAGCTGTTGAACAGCTAATACCTCTTTCTGGCTGGGCCTGGAACAGCAGAGGCCCAGACCCTTGCTCCTTGCCCCAAACCACTAAAGGGCGGGCAATTGATCATGGACTCTCTTGCAAACACAAGGTTTGCAACTAGCTTTCCAGCAACAAGGAACTAAGTGAGCACCCAGTGTCTAACTCTGCTAAACCCTGAGTGACCAGCTTCCTTGGAGTTTCACCTTTGGAACAAAGTACCGAACAAAGACTGCACCTAGAACCATGTTCCCAGCCTTCTTCTGCCAGCTAACAAAGCAGCACACCACCAAGTGACTCTTTCTCCCATCCATTCAAGGATAGGTAACGTAACAACTGGGCATAGCTTATCACAGCTTTACAGGCTAAGCAAGACTGTTTAACTTGTTGTATGTGATTTGATGCTGTTTACTGAGTTATTGTTGTGATAGATTGCAGTTAAGTAATTGATTAGTTGGCTTCGCCAAAGCTAAGTGTTTAGTTTGCTAATACTGTTCACAAACAGATTCTTGCACACAACTAAACAATCTCTGCACTAATCCAGACCGTTTGCAACACAAATCACATTCACATAGACTCATTAACAAATAGGCTTTCAACAGAACTACACCCAAACAGGCATCCCAAAGTTCCCGCTTCTTTTCCTTTGTCTTTGTCCTGACCACACGGTCAGACAAACACCTCCCCTTGAAGCTAGCCTTGATTCGGCCATTTTGGTAGTTCTCTGTTGTCAGCCATTTTGTTTTGTAGGCCAAACGGCTCCTTGATCACCACACCCGCCTTTGTCTTTCTTTCTCTTCTTTCTCTCACACACACACAACACACATATACACACCAAGCTTGTATATAGTTAGTTAGAATTTGTGTGTTTTGGTTTGCTTTGCTAGTTTGTGAATAAATATAATTCTTTGGAATCATGCCTGCTGTTTGTTTAATGTTGCACAAGAGTGAATGAATAGTCAACCTCTGCTGCGTCAAGAACTCCGAAATCCTTCAGGCATTACTGTTAATTTTGGTAGTTGTCATTACTTTAATTATTAATCAAAACTCCAAATTAATAGTTTAGCGTATTTTATGAGACTGATATCTTTAACTGGCTATCATTTTTCCCTTTACGGGAATGGTGCCCCACAAGGTGATTTAATGTTAATTGAGTCACATTATTTAACATAATTATTAATAATAATTATTAATTACTTCTGATAGCCAATTAAATCCCAACATATTTGGTGCCTCCATGTGAAGCCTGAATTTATGTTCCCAACATTTTCAGTGCCGCAGTGTGAGGTAAGTATATGTTGACCCCAACAGCACAATCAGACCAACTGCCCAGTCCTCAGGGAAAATACCAGTGTCAATGATCTTATTAAATAAAGAAACATATAATGGCATAAAAATGCTTGCAGTACTTTTAATATACTCATTTAGGATCCGGTCAGTTCCTGCTGCTTTTCCAAGTTTTAATTTTACAATAACCTCCTTAATTTCCTGTTCGGTAAAACTAGAAACCAGATACCAACAAAGAGTATCTCCCATATGACTGAAATGTTAATGAGTGAGTGTGAGCACATTCATGTAAGACATACCTGTAAAGTAGTTGAAGCAGTCGTGCTGGAAGACCTCGTACAAGACACCTAGAAGCTGCCACATCTGGGGGGAGATGGTCTGACAGGTGAGGCCGAATGCCAGTGACAAGATCTCCTCATAGAACTCTGCAGGAGACAGGAAAGGACTATTAGTGAATTTCATGCATGCAAACACATTCAAAACACACCCTGAGTAACTTCACCTAGGGTAGGATAGGTGTTTATACATGTGAGCCTCCGTGTACTGACTTTTGATGAGACTTCACATGACCATACACCAATAAAATCCATCTCAAGAATGGTACCAAGCCTGTGGTGCATGTCCCATGGAGAATGTCAGCACCACTTCAAGCTGGCTTGAGAAAAAACAAAAAAACAAACAACAAAAAAAAAACATTGGCCAAAATGACACAGCTAGGTGTCACTGAGCGGGTGAAGAGTCAAGAGAAGTCAATTTTATTTATATAGCCCAATATCACAAATCACAAATTTGCAGCAGAGGACACAAGTGTAAAAACAGACAAAATTCCCTTGCTGGGGACTAAGAGCATTTTGCTCACTGGCAACATTTGATAGGCCTATATTATTTCCATTAAGAAAATAAGGAACATTTCCTAAATTTCTGTAAAACACTGTATAGATACTGAGAAACACTTCCCAAAGGCAACAGGTCGCAATAGGCATGACATTGAAAACACAGAATAAAAAGAATAATAAAACATAAAACTTGTGCATTAGAAGGAATGTCAAAATTAGTTTTGCCTTGGCTAAATGCCAATGTAATTGCCAAATGCTTCAGTGATTATTTTATCCCATTTTATCCCAAGCAGCAGGTTTAAGAAGTTTGTTTTGTTTTTCCTTGTCCTGGTGATAGGCAGGTTCGTGTTTTTCCATAGACCCTTTAACTGTCAGTTAGTTAGACTGTTAGTTTGACATTTTTTTGTGGGCAGGGCTTAGCTGGAGACACAACAATTCTCCACAGACATTAGCTAGCGCTAGCTAGCAAGTCCTGTTGGCTTCTTTTAGACAATAGAGGAAGTGCATTCAGAAACACTCATTCAGAGTGCCGGAGTGGACTCTGGCACAAACTGGATTGTTCATAAATTTGGAGCGCTGTTGGAATATGCCATTCTGTTATCCAGAGCACCGCACTCTCGGAGTGGCAGAGCCCAATCTGGGCACTCTTTCTGAGGAGACGGAGCAGCAGAGCGTCGAGCGGAGTGAATGTGTGATTAACTTAACTGTTGGTTAATTTATATAGAAATACAATGCTCCGTTTCTTCTCAACAACAGGGCTCTCATTTTAGCGTAGAGCATCAGATTGAATTTACAAATGCACCATGTATGACCAGTATGCTCTCACTCAGTGGATGGATGATTTGACAGAATTGCTGAAGGTGGGATGGCCGGCTTTGTGGTTGATTACTATGCCAATCTTACAAAGGAGGACAACACTTGAACGGTTTCCTCTGGTTTGTTTTGCTATCGAAGCTAACATTAGCTAATGCTCTATAGAGTTAGTGTTACAGAGAAATCCAATATTCCTCTTTATACCTCACCGATCTCTGATTAGGTGGAAATGATAATCCTAAATACACATAACATTATTCATCCCTACAACAGTAAATACTTTTTTCCTAACGTGATATGAAGTGTGCGCTGCACGTGCAAGCATTTTTGATGATCGCCTCCATCCAGTCCTTTCGTCTCATTGCATTTAACAACAGCTGTCTGTTTTTGTTGACAGAAGGTGGCAGCTGGTATGCGATAAAATGTAAGTTTTGAGCCATGACTCCTTCTATTCTGCTCCCAATAACACAACAAGACAACATTTTAAGACACCTATGCAGCCTACAGCCCTGTGGTGGCGAGTCATGTTTTACTTTCACCTAATAAAACAAAGTCATTGTGATGTCGACCTTAAAAGGGTCTATTCACATAACCTCCGACGGAGGAGCAATGCCAACACACCATTTTGCCTTACACACAACTCTCTTGCCAATGCTGTTTGGCGGACTGGGAACCAGCAGTGGGGTCTTCTATCTCCAGTGTTTCATTTGCTCTGTCACAGGGTGACACACCAATCAGCTTGTTGTGCTAACCTGAGATTACAGGTTGAGAATGCCATAAAGCTTCCTGGGAGAACTCGGGCTTGTGAACTTTATTTCCGTATTAAGTACATCAGTCTAGATACGATGTATTCTGTGTGCAGCTGCGTGCACTTAACTGTGACCTTGTACTGTGACAATTTGGAAAGAAGACGAGCAGTTTCAACCCTACACGAGGGGCTTTACAATCTGTACAGCATACAACACCACGTGTCCTTACATCTTCAATTCGGATAAGGAAAAACTCCCCAAACAGAAAACTAATTGGGAAGATTCCATCGCATGCAATAAGAAAACATATCATAAGCTTAATCAAGCCTGCCTTGATCCCAAAAAATCAATTACCGCCCCACGGTCATTACATTTACATCCATATCTGTGAAAACATGAATGCTTTACAGACACACATCTTCCCCCACAAAAGCACAGAAGAGCTATACAATCAGCACAGTTTGAAGATTAGTGTCACCAATTCAGTATCTGACCATATGTCTCCCCATTTGTCTCTGAGATATGACATTGACTAATGGTTAGAAAAGTGTTTTATGCAGAACATTACATGTACATGTCACAGTTTAGTTGACCTTCGACCTTTTGGATATAAAATATCATCACTTCATCATTATATCGTATTAGACATCTGTGTGAAGTTTTGCCATAATTAGTAGGGATGCACAATATATATATCGGGGTGATAACTTATCGGCCAATAATGGGGCATTTTTATAATTATGCATTATTCTGATAATTAAAATTATAGGTGATAAATAGCGCCAATAATATGAAGCCAGGCTACTTTCATTGACTAAACAAGGGCAGCATCTACACACCCGAAACAGTGTGTGATGGTACATGTACCTTTAAACTTGGTTTGCGAGCCGCCAATAAACACAGAGAAGAAGAACAACAACTGCAGTTTGCTGTCTAGAGGGCAAAAGATGTCCCGTTTTGGACGTCTTTTACAGTTCCAGAGAAAGACAACAGGATTGCACCAAGGGTCAGATCTCTGACCGCTTGACACAGGTTAGACGCAGCACTGAAGGACCATCTCCAGAGTGTTAGCACGAGCTAATTAGCAGCAGCGGCTGACATCCAACACCAAGGTTTTAAAAGGCTCAACTGTTAAACTTATTAATAACCGCTAGCCATGTGGAGCTACAGTTAGCGATTATTTGTAACCGCTCTGGCTGCTTGTGAGACACAGCCGTGTGTTTGTCTGAGCTGAGTGTTAATGTGTAAGGTTAATAAATAGCGCATTGCTGTTCTACTTGGTTGTTGAAGGCGAGTCTGTCATGGGACGGTGAAATGGTGCCTGGGTGTGTTTGTAAAAGTGCAGTGTGACAATATAAACATTTCATACACCAGATGTAATGCAGACCTGAGATGTGAATTCAAGTCGTTCATATGAGCCAGCTGTCACTGTTTGTATCTGTTAGTGGAGACTCCACTCTGCAGTGTAGTTTACATACTTTATTGATACACCAAAAAATTACACAGTAACACTTGGCTTTATAATCTCCCTCCCTACCGTTAACTATAAATTCAGAACTGATTAAAAGTCATTTTACTTTCGCATGCTGGTATTTATTATGTTGATCTGTTGTGTAGGGTTATATGGGGGCAAGGACTTGAGTGGAGATCATTTGACAATATCCCAGGAAATCCTCCATCTTTTTCGCAGTTTATTGTTGGCAGGTACGAAGAGTCAGAACTCTTCTTTGTTTTTGTTGTGATAGCAACAGTGATGTCAGTTTGATTTGATTGGGTCAGGGCTATGGAATATTTTATCATCAATATTTTCTCACTACATCTTAGCCTTTCTTACCTTCAGGTGTGTATAAACTACAGGTTATACACGTTTTTTAAAATACAGAAATGTGAAATTATCGGTTATCGTATCGGTTATCGGACATGAGAAGCAGGCAATTATCGGTTATCTATATGGGTTGAAAAAATCCATACCAGTGCATTCCTAATAATTAGGGGCCGGGCAGCTTAAGCTGCCAGGACCCTATTGTTATCCTGCATGTTCTTCTTCTTTCTTCTTCTTCTGAGGAAATCCTACTTCCCATGCGCGAAAAATCACCAAACTTTGCACAAAGGTCCAGTCCCATGCTGGATTGCCTCAGCTGCAAAACAAATCAACCATATGTGCTACAGATTTGCAACTTACACCAAAATGTAGCCCCAACACTGAAGAAACTTTTGTACATTTAAACCTATTTCAAAAACTGTAAAACCTATTAAACCTATCTCCTCCCACAATTTTTGCTCAATTGACACCAAACTTGCTACAGAGCATCTTCAGACTGTCCTACACAAACGATCCACACAGATTTTTGATTTATCGAAAATTGAGTCTACAGTGCATCAAAATGTTTGACTGTAAACAGTATTGTAAACATATACTTGCAAATTCTTGCTAAATACATTTTCAATGTTCATTAAAAAAATGACAAAATTTTGGAGTCATGGTAGATGATGTTTGGAAAATAACAGGATTTTATCTCAAAAACTGAATTTTTTACAGCATTCTGAATTTTGCTCTCATGCGAACAATTGGACTCAATGCAAAAATGGCATTTTTAAACATCAGTTTTTCACTTATGGAGCCAATAAATCATTGTTAAAAACAAATTACCAACATCTCCATGCTGTCTAGATGCAATTTGTGTATTTTCGGATTTTTGTCTTAATAACTGAATTTTTGACAGCTGTTTGAAATCTGCCTTTACACACTAACAGCTGCTGTCTTGCACACAGGTAACTGGCTTAGTCAATTTGTGAAGCTACATGTGACATTTCCGTTTGCCAATTAGCTCAGTGAGATAGAGGATGGTTCTTGGTGTTGAAGATTGTGAGTTCAAGCCTCAGCTCGTGCAACATTTCCATATGAGAAATCTACCCAAACTTTTCATAAAGGTCCAGTCCCATGCTAGATGTCCTTAACTGGAAACACAAGACAATAGTCCTGATGGTGGCGCTACAGCAATCCTCTAAATTTTAAAACTTTGAAAATTCATAACAAATCAACCATATGTGCTATAGCTTTGGAACTTTCACTTTGAAATTTGCTTTTCCATGGCATGATGGCTACTGTCTGGCACCCTGATGCTTGGCTTAGTCAATTTGTGAAGCCACACATGAACTGTCACTTGCCAATTAGCTCAGTGAGATAGAAGACAGACCTCAGTCTCAAAAGTTGTATGTTCAAGCCTCAGCTAAGGCAGAACGGACATTCTAATGTGAAAGTCCTATGTTCAGGCATCATGCCATGTGGATTAGAGACTACTAAGGTTAAAATAATTATGATCCAGGCAGTTTCGCCAAGAGACAAATACTCTTTATCAACACTTTTCCCTGTTATTCCTTGTCTCTTTTCCCTGTTTATTTGGCTTAGCTATCAGTCAATATGCAGAGTCTATCCAATAGCTACTTTTACATTTTAAAAAATGTTTTCATCTTTGTCACCATGGATAATGTTTAGCTTTAAGCTAGATCAGGCCAGTCTGTTCGTAATTGCTAGCAGTTAATGTTATTCTTACTTTCTTGTTCTTGAGTTTTTTCTTTCCTTCGTATATTATGAGTCTCATCCACAATTTGAAGGGCATGCCATAATTATATGATGTAACATCTAGGTTGTGATATGCTTTGTTTTAGTGTGTGTGTGTTGCTCAGAATTGCCTAATTTTGCCTAAAATTGCCCGGCCCCAACCATTGCTGCACAGCAGCTATAATTAGCATATGAGTTCTTGAGTTATGGCAAAAAATATATTTTGTGAGGTCACAATGACTTTGAATTTTGACCACAAAATTCTAATTAGTTTATTCTTCAGTCCAAGGGGATATTTGTCTCAAATTTAAAGAAATGCCCTTAAGGTGTTCTTGAGATATTGCATTCACAAGAATGAGACAGATGCAAGGTCACACTGACATAACAAATAAATGATTGTGATAACCAACACTTCCACATTTTAAGGACGACCTGAGAGCAGCAAAATGCAAAAACAGCAGGAATCTGATTAAAGTATGTGTGTGTGGGTGTGTAACTGAATGTGTTCATGGAAAAACACTGGACTGCCCGTGCACACACACCTGCCATACCTATGATGGGCTTCTGCAAGACCAGACCGATCACCTGCAAACAGATCCCCTCCAACTGTTGAGTGATCTGTGAGGTAGAATGAAAAAAATAGTATCAAATATCACATACCAAACTGTGACAGCATGTTCAACTGTTTTCTGTAATGGTTGTGTGTGTTTGTGTGTGCGAGTGTGACCTCCTTGTGGTCCTCCATGACGGTAAGGATTGTGTCAATGGTGCTGAGAATGCCCAGGGCCATGACGGTCTTGTCCTCATTCTCCTCGTACTCCTCACTCTGAAGGACCCTGGTGAAAATTTCTGCCTGCCAAACACACACGCACAGCGATTGCACACACAGGATTACATTACATGCCTGCAGTAACAGACAGAGACATCAAGGCACAGACATACAAACACAATGAATCTGCAGGTTTCAGAGAAGCAAATGAAGACATTTTAAAGCTATACTCTACAGGACTGTCGGTTATTGTTTGTGTACATGTTTGCTAGCATTGTGTTCCTACCAAGTTCTGCGTCATGTCAACAGCAATAACAGCCACCTCCTGGTTGTACTCGCAGATCATCTTCTGAATGACGTTGGTCAGGTCATCATTTTCCGTTTCTTTCACCACATGCAGCAGCTCCTGCATAACTGGCCGGATGTAGGGCCTGATGTACAGTTTGGCTACACCCATGCACACAAACACAGAGCATGTGTCTACAATCCACCATTACCAGTATTTCAATATGCTCATCATTTTATGTCATCTATATTCTGAAATAAAATTACATTTACTGGCAGTCCTGTACTCAAGCAGAAAAAAGGGGGCAACTGGCTCATAATTATTAATTTTAAAAATAAATTTATATACAGTAACATGTGTTGCTTACTTATCTATTTATTTTAGTACCTGTACAGTGATGCAGACCAGGGCGACATTTTGTTTGAACATTGCAAGGGACACATTTAAAGTAGGGGGTTGTGGAGTTCCTCACCCAAAAAAGTTTGAGCCTCAAACACTTCATTTCCTGTATTCTGATGCTATTTCTAACATCAGTTTATGGTGGAAATGTATTTATTCACGTAAAGGAAAACTAAATTCAGGTGTCAGGTGAAAAATCAAAATAAAAATATAATGAAATATAATGCAGTAAGACTCAGGCATTCTGTACTGCTTACAATTCTTTATTCTTTGGAAAGATCAATTTGTCTTATTTCATACTGTCTGTTCAGTCAACACATGATTTACTGTGTATAAATGAGGAAGCGTGTTCTGCAGTGAGGTTTAAATGATTTAGCTTGCATAGCACCAGTCTGATTGTTTCTTGCCCTATCAGTCTTTGCTGTCTTGATGCTGGCATACTGTATATTGCAGTTTCCCCTTGCTATAGCCTTTATGCTAAAGTCCAGCTCTGTTCTTAACACACAGACATGAGATTGATACAGTGATGGTCTGGGACCAAAAAGAGGCCCTGGCATTTTTGACACAGAGGCCCCATGGCGGCGCATCGGCCAGCCAGGGGTGAAAAATTTACATATTATTTTACAAAAAAATATGCATTTTTACGTCATTTAGATCATCAGTTTCTTATTTGTGAAAGAACAGGCGTGGTGTCTCATATCCCCCCTCCCACATATTACTAGGTACTATGATTGATCAATTTACACATACTAACATAAAAAACACTACCATTGGCGGAACGTTTCAGAGCGCCACAGAGACACAGACTGTTCCACAACTACCATAGAAACTCACACACTCACTCACTGCCTTGATGCACAATAGAAGAGGAGATATACAGACACAGTCATTATGAATGATAAAATTGATTTGTGGCTTGCATGGGAGCATGTGGAAAGCTATTTTTGCAAATATTTCATTATATCTTTTCATGGGACAACACTATAGAAATGACACTTTGATATAACTTAAAGTAGTCAGTGTACAGCTTGTATAGTAGTACAGATTTACCTTCCTCTGAAAATTACTCAAAACACAGCCATCAACATCTAAACAGCTGGCAACATAAGTGAGTACACCCCACAGTGAACATGTCCAAAATGTGCCTAAAGTGTCAATATTTTGTGTGCCAACCATTATTATCTAGCACTGCCTTAACCCTTTTGGGCATGGAATTCACCAGAGCTCACACGTTGCTTCTGGAATCCTCTCCCACTCCTCCATGATGACATCATGGAGCAGATGGATATAAATGTCCGCATCGATGCTGACCTACGGTAAGGGGGCATAAAGGGCTCACTCACTGACTCTCTGACTTGACGATTTGACAATGGGACAGCCCTCACACACTCACGCACTTAACATGAACGCGCCTCTAAGTCAGTGAGTCTGTATGGGATCGGATTGGAATTGGGCCGTTGTCGCTGACGTTGAGTGCATTACCCATCATTCATTTGTCACTTGTCAGATGTCAAATGTCATCACTCAATGATCGCGAGAAAATGCTTAATGACCAAAAACACTTTATATTACCGGTAGCCCCATTTCACTCATATTTATTTAAAATTATATTTAGGCTACTACTTATATGTATATTGTGGCCAATAAAAATGTTTTGGGCCGCCAAGAGAAGATTTATTTATTTATTTTTTAATTTTTTTTAAAAAATTTTTTGGGTTTTTTTGCCTGCCGGCCGGCGGCCACCAGGCCATGCAGCCGTTCTGGCATTTGCCCAAATGCCAGATGGCCAGTCTGTCACTGGATTGATATCATATCTTGTCATCTTACTTTGAGAAAGCAAAAGGTATAAGTGTGCTTCTCAAAATTACTATTCCTTTGAGTGTGTATGCATTCATAATAACATTTGCACTTTTTGCATTAGCTCTCATATTCATACAGTAACTTGAATCATCTTCATCTTTCAGAAGTTTTTTCCATTCACAATCTTATAGTAGAATAAGTTAATTAAAGGAGTGTTAAAGTACTGGCTTCAAAACACAAATAACATCCATATTCCTCCACAGACCTTGTTCCTGGTTGCTGACCAGTGTCTGCAGAGCTATGGCAGCTTCCACCTTGACAGGCATCTCTTTGTCGTCAATCAGATCCTGTTTGACCAATTCCACAGCGTTCCTCAGCACTAGCTCATCATGGAAACGCAGTGGGCTGAAGCAGTGTAGCACCCAGCAAGACTGCCAAAACACAGCACAAAAAGCACAGATGAATACAACACACAGGCATGGTTCATCTCAGGCCATTCCACAGTGTTTTTGAGATCTCTGAAACCACCACTATGAATGGAGCTGCCCCACCACATGCGTTAGTGTGGAATACAATACATATGAAGTGATGAAGAGACTGAGAACACTGAGTAATACTGACTGAATGGACCACCCAACAAGACATGAAATGTATTTCAGCAGGAAGAACAACACATGTAAATTAACAAATTGCTGCATATGTTTAAATTTTTCACATATAGCAAGTAGCTCGTTCCATTGCTTATACATTGCTGAGGTCCCTGTTTACTTCCTGCAAGCTCTAAAGAAAACAATAAAAGCAGGACAGGTCATGGGGTCAGTGACAGCATTCAAATTTTGCATTGTAGCCAAACTTTGGTGCCGCTTCTGTTGACGTTAATAGGCGGGCACAATAATTCACCTCGACTGAAAAATCCTTCCATAGAATTAAAAGGGTCAGGAGGTTGTGTGTGCGGGGGGCAGCAGGAGAAGGGGGGGCAGAGCAGGGAGGGAGCTGAGTGTCCTGACAGCTTGGTGTATGAAGCTGTCCCTCAGTCTGCTGGTCCTGGCCCGGAGGCTATGTAGTCTCCTCCCCGATGGCAGCAGGCTGAAGAGGGTGTGTGACGGGTGAGTGGAGTCACCAGCGATGCAGAGGGCTTTGCGGGTGAGGCGGGGGATGTAAATGTCTTGGAGGGGAGTGAAAGAGGCACCGATGATCTTTTCAGCTGTTCTCACGATGCGCTGGAGGGTCTTGCGGCTGGATGCTGTGCAGGTGCCGTACCAAACCGTGATGCAGCTGGTCAAGATGCTCTCGATGGTGCCTCTGTAGAATGTGGACATGATGGGGGCTGGGGCTCTGGCTCTTTGCAGCTTGCGGAGAAAATAGAGGCACTGGTGAGCCTTCTTGGCCTGGGAAGTAGTATTGAGGGTCCAGGAGAGGTCCTCTGTGACATGCAACCCCAGGAACTTTGTGCTGCTCACCCTCTCTACAGCAGCACCGTTGATGGTGTTGGGAATAGAATGATTTTATGTGTTTTACTATAAGTTGTGTTTCACTATATAAGTTTTAGATGTGTGAACAATGAGAATACTGAGATGATTTCAGCTGATCTGAATGTGTTTGCTTTGCAGAAGTGGAGAAGTACAGGAGAGGAAGAGACATGAAGTCTGAGGAGCACATACCGCAATGCTTAGATAATTAGTTTCATATATGGTAAAAGGAATAGAAAGTGATGTACAGATAGTAAGGTACAGCACGTGTAGGGAGTTGTGTTGTTCTCTTGTCTTTCAAAACAGGAACCACGCCCCCACCGCCAGCAGGAAGGAGTGAGATTAACACGAGGCAGGGGCTTGGTGTGGTGAAGGAGGAAGTGGAACTGCCAATGAGAAGAGGACAACGCCTTGCGTGCACAATGACACTCTGTTACGCTCAAATATACTGGGTCAGGGAAAGGACAGGAGGTCAGACTTCGTGAACTGACAATGGTCAGAGGGGAATGCTGGGTGCGTGCGCTCCTGAAGTCCACAACAATCTCCTTTGTTTTCTCCACGTTCAAAGAGAGATTATTGTGGCTGCACCACAAGGCCAGCTCACCTCGCTCCTGTAATTTGTCTCATCATCGTCTCTGATGAGACCCACCACGGTCGTGTCGTCTGCAAACTTAACGAGGATGTTAGAGCTGACACATTCATTTTCCTTGTTGGTCTCCAAACAGATCATGGTTCTGTCCGTATTTGCAGGAGAAGAATTAAATCGCCATTTCATTGTTTAGGATGGGAATGCTAGATAGGCTCTTTGTTTTAGCCTACTAATGTGAGAGAATGTCGCCACCTGCTGATGTGGCGAATAACTGCACCTCACATTGATGTTTTTTCACAGATCCTGTTGCAGTAGGAATTGGACAAAATTGTGCAAACAAACAGGAGGGAAGTCAAATATGTCCCATCACCTAGGAACTGACAGGAAGCGATCCACAAATGTGCAAAATGTGCAGTCTCACATGTAAAAATGGATCCATAAATGCGTAAATATGACTTCATATGTATTTGCTGTGGTGAAACTGTTAATATTTGTAAAACCTGTAACATTTTATGTGAAATGAAAGTATTTGTTTACAGAGTAAGTTATGCGCATCTGCATATCAATCTGTATTTTTGTGGATATGACTTTACACAACACAAATGTAAAAATACATGTTTGTGGATAGTGAAATATTTGTGAATCATGGTACACATCTGTAGATTGTCTTGTGTGGGTTACAAATAATAAAGTCCAATAAAAACCTCCATATAATCCCCCAGGTCCACTTTGTTTGAAACCAATGCAACAGCATCCAGTCAAGTTGCAGGAGAAAACCATGAAGAACTAACATTATGCTACTCAGCGGCAGTTGCACAAGAATGATACCAAAGATAATTTTTGAACAAAAACTATGCAGTGGTCACCAAAAAACAAATTGTGACACAACAACTTGTAAATTTATATCATTATTCCTTTGTTAGAATGACATTACATTCAGTGAAGAGCACTACATGTCTTAATTAGGACTCAAAACTCAAAGTTTAGGACTTGGGTCTCGTCAGTCTTGACTTAGGACTTGTGAAAATGTGTCAGTTGCAGTCAGCATTAAAAGGATTCAATATCTACTATTAGAAAAATAACTACAGTATACACAGTTACACCAACAGCATCAGCATAAAAACCATAATCAGTCAGTTCTTGTTTGCATAGACACTATCTGGCTTTAAAGCATTTTCCAGAGCACCGGTATATCTGTTATGGGTGGGTAAAAAAAATCAATACAGCACTGTGACAGTATGGTGATATTTATATGGCCATATCGTAACATCATATGGATGCCAAGTATCGATTATTTTATTATATAAATTGTTAATATTACAAATCTAAATTAAACTTTTGTTAGCCTACTAGAATAATGTAATCTTTTTTTTTCCCAGTCACTAGATACATTTTGCTGCAATAAATATGGCTTAAGTGAGATGAACAGACTGAAAAACTTTATCTTATAAGATAAAACTGTTGTTGACAAAGTTTTCCTTTGGGGACAGAATTTACAGTTAAAAAAACGGTAATTAAAGCACAATATATTGCAATATATTTTATCGCAATTCTCAGCATATTGCAACACCCTTAAAATCACAAAAATATTGTATTGTGATTTAAGTATCGTGATAATATCGTATTGTGGGGCCTCTGGTGATTCCCACCCCTAATATCTGTCTGTCTGGGTTATAATCTAAAACTGAACTAAGTGAAAAAAAGATTAGCCCAGTGAAGGAGGGATAGGAGGGTTCACTCACCCTGGCTCGCAGGTAACCAACAGGAGAGTTAAGCAGAGGGAAGACATAGTTTTGCAGCATCAGCTCCATCTGCTCCCTGTACATCCGCTTCTACCGGGTCAGACATGCACACACACAGCACAGAACACAGAGGATTAAAACACTTTGAGACCTCCTTAGATATTTGCAGTTAAGACACCACACAGAAAGAATAATTAACAAAGATGATCTGGGAAAATCTACATCTGGAGCAGGGGTGTTAAGAATCTTTATTGCTACATACAGAGCAGACCTAGGTGCAGGGACTGTTTCCAAATTATATAAAGGCCTTCAGGAATTAGGTGGGACCAATACATCTTACATAAAAAAAAGATGGGAAAATGAAGGAAACTTTGTACTATCACTAGAGGACTGGGGAAATTTCAATGACATGTAATGGAAATCAACTAACTCTTTGTCATGGAGAGAGTTTAATTGGAAAAACAGGGTCAGATATTTTTTAACACCTGCATTCAAGCACCCTGGGGGGAGGCAGACAACATGCTGGAGAGGCTGTGGGACAGAGCAAACCACTTTCATGTGTTTTGGGAATGCACTGTGATTCATCAATATTGGATTGAAATTAGAGACGGTATGAAAAAAGTATTAAGATGTTACATTGATTTTTGTTTTCAAGTTATGTATTTGGGTAAAAAGCCACACCAGCTTTTAGGTTTCTCAAAATTATATATGTTCAACATAATGCTGGTCGCCAATAAAAAAGCGATCACAAAAAATTGGCTAAATCAAAGAGCACCCACACTAGTAGACTGGTTCAATGTGATGCATGAAATTTACGTCATGGAAAAACTAACATTTGCTCTAAGACTCAAGATGGATCAATTTGAAAAATGCTGCAAAGGATGGATTGATTTCATTAGCCCACATAGATCAGACTTCAGGTTATAATGGAATATCATTTGTAACGTAACCCCCATGTTTTTTCTATGCTACACGCCCCCCTTTTATTTATTTATTTTACTTTACCTCTATTTTTAATTCTCTTACTTTCTTTTTCTGTTTGTCCAATTTGTACTGTTTCAATTGTTAAAAAAGTGTACAAAGTATAACACTCTGTATATGTTGACTTTAAACATAATACAAAGATAATTTAAAAAAAAACAAAAAAAAAACACTTCGAGGCACCAAGAGGATTTAAATAATTTTAGGCTCCATCCGAAGCAGAGGTGCATCTGTTTATCCAAGTACCTTCAGTAAGAGCTCAGCCAGAGCTCCAATGCAGTGTAGTGCACCATCCTTCTTTCGAGGGTCAGCAGAGGGGTCCATCAGTATCTGGTGGCAAAACTCCATCATCTGAGGGAGAACCTGGACGCCCAAAGGTTACATAGAGAAAAGTCTGATGCAGAAATTGTGCAGCACTGGTGTTTTCATCCCATGGTCAATTATTCTCATGCCTCATTATGGTCAAACTAACATGCTTTTAGGAACAAACCCCATGTAATTCTAAAATAAGAATTTAAAATGTCAAATTAGCTCTGCCAAGACAGCTAATTTTACACACACACACACACACACACACACACACACACACACACACACACACACCGGTTCAACTGCTTAAAACGCAAAGAGGTAATCAGCCAATCTTGGGCAGCAACTCAATGCATTTATGCATATAGAGATGGTCAAGACAACCTGCTGAAGTTCAAACCGTGTATCAGAATGGGGAAGGAAGGCAATTTAAGTGACTTTGAATGTGGCATGGTTGTTGGTGCGAGACAAACTGGTGTCAGTATTTCAGAAACTGCTGATCTACCGGGATTTTCACGCAAAGCCATCTCTAGGGTTTACAGAGGATGGTACGAAAAAGAGAAAATATCCAGTGAGCGGCAGTTCTCTAACCGAAAATGTCTGGTTGATGCCAATGGTCAGAGGAGAATGGCCAGACTGGTTCAAGATGATAGAAAGGCAACAGTAACTCAAATAACCACTTGTTACAACAAAGGTATGCAGAAGACCATCTCTGAACGAACAACACGTTGAACCTCGAAGCTGATGGGCTACAGCAACAGAAGACCACACCAGTGCCAGTCCTGTCAGCTTAGAACAGGAAAATGAGGCTACAGTTCACACGGGCTCAGTTGTTCTAAGCTGACAGGAAACTGAGGCTACAATTCACACGGGCTCACCAAAATTCAGCAAAAGAAGATTGGGAAAAACGTTGCCTGGTCTGATGAGTCTTGATTTCTGCTGCCACCTTCAAATGGTAGGGTCAGAATGATGTAAACAACATGAAAGCATTGATCCATCCTGCCTTTTATCAATGGTCCAGGCTGGTGGTGGTGGTGTAATGGTGTGGGGGATATTTTCTTGGCACACTTTGGGCCTCTTAGTACCACTTAAGCACTGTTTAAACGGCACAGCCTACCTGAGTATTGTTGCTGACCATGTCCATCCCTGTATGACCACAGTGTAACCACCTTCTGATGGCTACTTCCAGCAGGAAAACGCACCATGTCACAAACCTCAAATCATCTCAAACTGGTTTCTTTTAATAGGACAATCTGTACTCTAATGGCCACCACAGTCACCAGATCTCAATCCAGTAGAGCACTTTTGAGATGTGGTGGAACCGGACATTTGCATTATGGATGTGATGCCGACGAATCTGCAGCAACTGGGTGATGCTATCATGTCAATATGGACCAAAATCTCTAAGGAATGTTTCCAGCACCCTGCTAAATGTTTACCACGAAGAATTAAGGCAGTTCTGAAGGCAAAAGGGTAACCCAGTACGAGCAAGGTGTGCCTAATAAAGTAGCGGGTGACTGTATATGTATATATCATCAGACCAGGCCCCTGCTCATACTCTTAAAGCTCAGCACCAGAACCGATCCATTACCCGTCATTAAGTCAAAGCTGCACCTGCACGCATGATTAACACACAGGCTTCAGTCACTCATGTTAAGCTGAGTTCTCCATTTTTGAATTTCAAATCCAGCAGAGGAAAAGTGTCTTTAACTGGCTGTGCTGGATGCCAGGATGGCGAAAACGTTCTGCGCAATCACTGCCAGGTAAGGAACCATTTTAGCATGCTCTTTCACCACTATAAAACCTCACAAGGATTCTTCTTGGGTGTCTTGAACTGAACCCCTGAATTGTGGCTTGATAAAAGTGATTTAGATGTCAAAATATTACAAATATACTGCACATCTTTTTCATTTGTTTTATTCTGAAAAATAAAAAATCTTTTTCTGTTTTCACCTGCTGCCCACCCTCTCGTAGGTCATTTTTACCTGTACTCGTGAATTTATATATATACACATACATTACACAGCTTTTTGTGGGTACCAGCAGGTACCCAACCCGGCGCAGGACTCTGGCACAGGTTGAAGGAGCTGACAGGATTGCATTTCACTAGAATGATTGATTGAATAGTTTGATGGACTGATTGATTAATAATTACCACCAGTAACACTATCAGATAAATTATAGTATAAGTATAGACCCTTTTAGTGTCAGTTTGTTAGCTGGGGGCAAAACACGACTCACACCACAGGGCTGTAGGCTACAAAGGAGTCTTAAAATGTCTTCTTGTTGTGTTATTAGGAACCAGAATAGAGGGAGTCATGGCAACTTTGGTCAAATGTGATGAGACAAAAAGACTGGACTGAGGTGGTCATCAAAAATGCTTGCATGTGCAGTGCACACTTCATATCAGATTAGGGAAAAGTATTTACTGTTGTAGGGATGAATAATGTTATATGTATTAAGGGTTACCATGTTCACCTAATCATAAGGAAGGTATTAAGAGGAATATTGGACTTCTCCGTAACGCTAAACACAGTGGAGGAAACTGTTCAAGTGTTGTCCTCCTTTGTAAGGTTGGCATAGTAGTCAACCACAAAGCCGGCCATCCCACCTTCAGCAATCCTGTAAAATCATCCATCCACTGAGTGAGAGCATACGGGTCGGCCAGTCTGGTCCTGTTGGTCAGTGTTTACTTTTTTAAGTAACACTTGCAGCCCCAGAGAGTGAATGACCCGGCATGGTGCATTTGTAAATTCAGTCTGACGCTCTACACTAAAATGAGAGCCCTGTTGTTCAAAGAAACGAAGTGTTCTATTTTTACATTATTTAAAGAATGGTTAGGTTAATCACACATTCACTCTGCTCGGCACTCTGCAGCTCCATCCCCCCAGACAGAGTGCCCAGAGTGAGCTCTGCCACTCCAAGAATGCGGTGCTCTGCCCAATGTTACATTACAACAGTGCTCCAAAATTACCAACAGTCCAGTTTGTGCTGGAGTGCGCTCCGGCCCTCGTGACGAGTATTTCTGAATGCACCACTTGCATTATCTTCCTCCATTGTTTAAAACAAGCCAACAAAACTTACTAGCAAGCGCTAGCTAATGCTGCGGAGAACTGTTTTGCCTCCAGCTAAGCCCCACCCACAAAAAATGCCATACTGTTTACTAACATTAAAAGGGTCTATTAAGTCTCATAAAATTGATTTGATACTTAGGCAAAAAGCTGGTGTCTTGCGTAGTGCCATAGTTGAGTAAAGTTACTCAGTTCCTCTGGACTGATGCTAAAATACTCCTCCTCACCTCCTTCCTCTTGCGGGCAGCTTTACACAAGACACTCTGGGCAGCAGTGGCAGGTAGGGTGTGGTCATCATAAAGGTCTGAAACAAAAACAAAAACACACTAACTCACACAAGGAATGGGATCAAACAACATGTTGACAAACATGGCGGGCATTATTCGTCCACCACTAAGTACAGTAGTAATGATGCAGCTACAAAAACCCTCTCACTTTCTGTGAATTTTTCTGTGCTCTGATAATTTAATGTGACTTTCAAACAACTGCATAATGTTACCATGACATACCTGCTACCAATGACATTTGGTAGCAGGTATGGTGTGGTATCTGTTAGCCAACTAAGCTTAGTGATTTCCAGTGTCACATGTAGGTCTGAGTAATCAAGTCTGGTAAGAACACACCGGAGTACTCACTGAACTTCATCCGGATGTACTCATAAGGGTCTTCCTGCCAGAGCTTTTCATCCTCATCTTTGTAACACATGAGAGGGAATATGACTTCCTGGCATATGGTCTGTAAGAGATGATGGTTTTCATAAGGTTGGGAGGAAAATTATAGCGGCTTCAAACAACAATCCATCATAATAATAATAACAAGAAAAATGTAGTGATAGACGAAACATTGCATCCATCTGCAGTCCACCTTTTATAAACAATGGACAGAGTGACTTGGGGTGCAATTGTGGTTTAGTGGTTAGTGCTAAGAGCGATTCAAGAAGACCCGCAGGAACAGGAATCAGGGTCAGGGGCATTGTGTGGTGGGCAACAGGCAGGGGCACGGTCCCGGACGTGCTGATCTATGGCATCACAGACTGGCAAAACATGCTTGTTTTCCAACTTACTGAGTATTAAAAATAATCATAATTTAAAGCTGCAAGCAGCAATGAATGGGTACTTGTAGGTCACCGGTCAAAGCAGCTGTGTGTTTCAGTGAAAGTTGCAAACTGCACACAGGAGTTAAATGCTAGTTCCTGCGTATAGTGCAGGCACTGGAATTGACCTATTACAATTTTTGTGCCATGTGTCCACAATGTGGTCCTGGAGAACACGCACTAATTATACACCATTTTATTTTATATCAGTTGTAGACTGAAACATGTAAATATAAAGTAAATAAAATGCTGATTGTCACACAAGGCTTACTTCCTGTTGCCAGAATGTGGTGTAATGACAATGACACCTCATTAGCATGTTGATGTCTTTGGGCCTGGGGTCTTATCAAACATGTAAAAATTTGGGGCAGAGTGGACAATGTACACTAAAGGAACAACTTCCTGTTTCGTGGTGAATAATATGACACCAAGGAAATGGCTGTAATAAAAAGTTTCATGAGTTTTTGAGCGCCTTTAGCTCCATCAAAATGCAATGCGAATAATAATGATAATTATAGCTGCTGCGCAGCAATGGTTGGGGCCAGGCAATTTTAGGCAAAATTAGGCAATTCTGAGCAACACACACACACACACACACACACACACTAAAACAAAGCATATCACAACACAGAAGTTACATCATAAAATTATGGCTTGCCCTTCAAATTGTGGATGAGTGGCTGAAGTGATCAGACTCATAATATACAAAGGAAAGAAAAAACTCAAGAACAAGAAAGTAAGAATAACATTAACTGCTAGCAATTATGAACAAACTGGCCTGATCTAGCTTAAAGCTAAACATTATCCATGGTGACAAAGATGAAAACATTTTTTAAAATGTAAAAGTAGCTATTGGATAGACTCTGCATATTGACTGATAGCTAAGCCAAATAAACAGGGAAAAGAGACAAGGGATAATAGGGAAAAGTGTTGATAAAGAGTATTTGTCTCTCCACGAAACTGCCTGGATCATAATTATTTTAACCTTAGTAGTCTCTAATCAACATAGCATGATGCCTGAACATAGGACTTTCACATTAGAATGTCCGTTCTGCCTTAGCTGAGGCTTGAACACACAACTTCTGAGACTGAGGTCCATCTTCTATCTCACTGAGCTAATTGGCAAGTGACAGTTCATGTGTGGCTTCACAAATTGACTAAGCCAAGCATCAGGGTGCCAGACAGTAGCCATCATGCCATGGAAAAGCAAATTTCAAAGTGAAAGTTCCAAAGCTATAGCACATATGGTTGATTTGTTATGAATTTTCAAAGTTTTAAAATTTAGAGGATTGCTGTAGCGCCACCATCAGGACTATTGTCTTGTGTTTCCAGTTGAGGACATCTGGCATGGGACTGGACCTTTATGAAAAGTTTGGGTAGATTTCTCATATGGAAATGCTGCACGAGCTGAGGCTTGAACTCACAATCTTCAACACCAAGAACCATCCTCTATCTCACTGAGCAAACAGAAATGTCACATGTAGCTTCACAAATTGACTAAGCCAGTCACCTGTGTGCAAGACAGCAGCTATTAGTGTGTAAAGGCAGATTTCAAACAGCTGTCAAAAATTCAGTTATTAAGACAAAAATCCGAAAATACACAAATTGCATCTAGACAGCATGGAGATGTTGGTAATTTGTTTTTAACAATGATTTATTGGCTCCATAAGTGAAAAACTGATGTTTAAAAATGCCATTTTTGCATTGACTCCAATTGTTCGCATGAGAGCGAAATTCAGAATGCTGTGAAAAATTCAGTTTTTGAGACAAAATTCTGATATTTTCCAAACATCATCTACCATGACTCCAAAATTTTGTCTTTTTTTTTTTTAATGAACATTGAAAATGTATTTAGCAAGAATTTGCAAGTATATGTTTACAATACTGTTTACAGTCAAACATTTTGATGCACTGTAGGCTCAATTTTCGATAAATCAAAAATCTGTGTGGATCGTTTGTGTAGGACAGTCTGAAGATGCTCTGTAGCAAGTTTGGTGTCAATTGAGCAAAGATTGTGGGAGGAGATAGGTTTAATAGGTTTTACAGTTTTTGGAAAAAAAAAAACACTGATGGACTTCATAATTTGCAATATGTTTAAATGTTTCTTCAGTATTGGGGCTACATTTTGGTGAAAGTTGCAAATCTGTAGCACATATGGTTGATTTGTTGTGGATTTTCAAAATTTTGAACTTTAGAGGCTTGCTGTAGTGCCACCATCAGGACTATTGGCCTGTTTTTGCAGCTGAGGCAATCTGACATGGGACTGGACCTTTGTGCAAAGTTTGGTGATTTTTCGCGCATGGGAAGTAGGATTTCCTCAGAAGAAGAAGAAAGAAGAAGAACATGCAGGATAACAATTATAATTATAATAATTCCTTTAGTTTCAATACGGTCCTTGCACTGTTTAGTGCTCAGGCCAAAATAATAATAATAATGATAATAATACTAATAATACTACTACTACTACTACTACTACTACTAATAATAATAATAATAATAATCATCATCATCATCATCATCGTTATCGTCATCATAATCATAATTCCTTCAGTTTCAATAGAGTCCTTGCAATGTTTGGTGCTTGTGACCTAAATCTGATTCTGAACTGTTAAAAGTTCAAAGCTGTGATGGATCAAAACCTCTGGCAGTTTCTGACCCTGCATTAAAAACAACTAACAGGTTATATGATTATCAGACAGATGTTAATTCATGTATGCCCAACTCTGTGCTGGGCCATGCTTTTCTTTTGCAACACCATCTCCCCCATTGGTCAGTTGCAGAAACATTTTGTTGACATGATGCAAATCATAATCATCAAGCAAAACTGCAAATGTCATACCCATCTACACATTTAGTCCACATTATATTCTTCCATGATTATCCTACCTGCATATGTGGCTTCATCTGTTTCCAGGTTAGTGAGTGTGACAGGCCCTGGTTGAGGTAGTTGAGGCACTGCTGCAGGACGCGAGGAGTAACATACTGCTTCTGTCGGTACTGGTCCACCACCTTTAGCAGGACCTGGACAGACAACACATCACAACAGACAACAGTGAAACCAAACCCATCAGAGCCTGACCAACAAATACACAGGAAATTTTCAACCACAGGTCCACAACCTATGACATGACCAAATTTACATTTAGAGAAACAATGCAAAATTCATGTTGAGTGGACCCTGTGCTGCTAACCCTCCTGGTTCATAGTTCATAGTTAATCTCTTTGCCTTATTCTAGCAACCAAGAAATCTAAGCTCGCCACAATATATCTTAATAGATCGACATTTTAAAAAAATGGATGTAAAAGGTGTACTCAATGTTTTTGTGTTCATATGACACAGAATTAAATGCTCAAACAACAACAAAAAAAGTTATAGTTAGCTAAACTTTTATGTCACTGAATTGTACTAAACTAAAAGTTAAGTGCAAGCTGTTTCCAAAAAAAAATTAAATTGAGTGAGCAAATTAGGGTTTACAGTGTACAACTCTATCGTTGTTATTATTATAAATAAAGTCAACCTTCCAGTAATAATGTGACATATGTTAGTGAATTAAGAATATAAATGACTTGCACATTAAAAAATGCCACTGGCAGACTGGTCATCTTCATCTTTGTAAACTGACTCTCTGACATCCTAGAAAAGCTTGCTGATCCCTAATCTCAACCAACATGTTCATGTTTCAGTGACACATGCTAACCTGCTGTATGCCCATTGCATATGTCTTCAGGAAAAAGTCTGCAAACTCGTAGTACTCCTTTGTCACATTGCCTGGGCTTCCATACCTGTAATTCAGAGCAGAAGCGTGTGAATAGCTGCTAATGTCCCCCTCCCTAAATTCAGATCTGCTTTCTGGTAACACAAGAGCAGCTCTGGACTCACCGTTCAAACATTCTGGTGATGATGCGTAACGCCCACTTCTTACACTTCCACCATGCCAGTTCTGGACGGTCGTCCTCATCCACCTCCAACGTCTCCTAACAAACAGACACTTTATGTTCAGCTTTTGGAACTTGTAAACCCAGCAGAGAAAGAGAACAACACAGCCAGATTTCACTTAGATTCAGTTACATTTTAGTGTCCATTACACTTTGCTCACCTCAAGATAATGTAATTGTAAGTACCATCACTATTATAAGTATTCATAATAATAAGAATTATAATAATCATGATAATAACAACATCAATAATAACAGTGGAGCCATTAGGGAAATATTTGATTGTGTACACTGCAAATTATTTCCAGGAAGTTAGAATATGCAACTGTAGTATTTCACAATAAATTACATTATTATCACCTCGCAGGCTTTTACTAGGTAAATATAGTAATTTTACAGAGATACACTGCTATATCACAGTAATATATGGAGTTCAACTGTGACATTACAGTGAAATACAGTAATTCTATGGGAGAATATTGCTAAATCACAGTAATCAAATGTACATGAACTGCGAAGTTACAGTACTTAGTAGTTACAGAATTTACAGGAACGTGCTGTTATATCACAGTAATGTAACAGGCTTTAACTGTATGGTTATAGTTTAACATAATAATTATGCAGGAGCATGCTGATAAATCACAGTAATATGAAGGCATAACTAGTGTGACATCACAGTATACAGCTGCCATTTCACAATAATTTACTGTAAAAATGACAGTAATTTAATGTCAAAGCAATGTAACTAGTAGCCAGTAACCTACTGTAAATGTACAGTCAAATATTTTACAGTGTAGGTTTGCATGTATGATTATATGTCATCTGTGGATCAATGTGTGTGTGTGTGTGTGCACGCGCGCACACACGTGCAGGCGCGTCTTACAGCTGGGACGTCTCGGTCCATTATGGTTCGGAAGATTTCCATCCACTGAGTCATCACTGTGTTGTTGATCAGCTGTAAGGGCAGCGAGTACTGCAGGACAATAAGGTCAATACTGTCATCATCATCATTATCATCATCACTATCACAGTGACAGTGACACACACAAGAGCTCATTACAAGCATGAATATTATACACTGCTGACTTCATCTACTGTTTCAGTGAAGATGATAGCTTTAGTTTTGATTAATTTGTCATTCATTATTCTTAATTAAGGGTTCAAGCCCAAAAGCCCTTTTGTTTTTGTGCTAATTTATTAGCGCCTGAGCACAAAAGTTAAAGTACAAGAACCCTGCTGTTTATGTGAAGCTTATAAGGGCCCGAATACCGACCAGTGCAAGGCCCCTATTGAAATGCAAGGAATTATTAGGGCCCAAGCAACAAACAGTAAACTTTAAAAACTCATAACTCTTTCACTGTAAGTTAGATTGCTTTGAAATTTGACAGACAAGTCCAGCTCAATGTGCCCTACCAAGAAATCTCAAGAACAAGAGGTCTGCCTATTAGATTTTCAGCCATTTTAATTTTTTGAAAAGCACAATTTGACATCTCCTCCAAAACTATAGGTCTGTGGATCATTATTGGACCGAGCTTATCAAAATTTATCAAAACCCCGTAATACCCCACTGTATTTTGAAGTGACCGACTAATGAACTTAACCCTATGGGCCCTAGGCGTTTTTGGGGTATTTTTACTGCCTTTACTTTTAAGCTCATATCACAGTCATTATAAAGGCTACATACACATGCTATATCTTGTTTTTTTCAGGACAATCTGGGCTAACCAGATTTGCCATCATTCCATGTCCTTCTATGTGCCTCTATTTTATATTAATTTTTATATCAATGAAAAAAACAAATCTGTGTTACTAAATTCTTACATTTTTACATGTATCTCACCATAGCAAGTTGGAAGAAGACATATTCTGCCATATATGAAGAGGGGAGACTCTCTGGAATCTGGCAATATAAGAACCATGATGCTGGGACATTCTGTCACTTCACAGTTGTCCAAAACATGTGGTTTGTGCCAGGCGGACATGATTGCCAGTATTTTTTCATTATTGCAAGAAATTCCATTGACTCATTCACAAGTCAAAAATGTGTTTTATCTGAAAGAAACATGCAATATTTACATCTAAGATCATAGAAAAATAGTCAACCAAGTGCAATGATGTCCTCCAAGATAATATTTGCCACTTTGTTTGCAGTAAACAAAGTTTGTTGTTGTTTTTCAGTTTCAGTTATATATTGGGGGGCATTTTGGGCATTGGGGGGGACACATGTCCCCCTCAATGTATATGGTGACTACGGCCCTGTCATGCATGCATAATTAGGCTGCAGTTGTCTGGGTGCGCAAAGGTGAAGTGGCTGGTCTTGTCATACAAAGTTTGATGGAGTGTCAACTGGACAATATGGAGATATTTGCATCTTGAAAGCCGGACTACAAATGTGGATAGACAGGGAGAAACACACGCAAGCCTAAGACGTGGTAAGATATTCCTCACTATATGAAGTGACTGATAACAGGATCTGTATCATGGATTGTGAAGAAATTCGTCAGGTTTTTATTTTGTAGACAATTAGTCTGGATTTATAGCGTGACGGGATAACAGCACAATGATGTGTGTGGTATCATTAGAAAGCTCTAGTCCTGTGCTTTCATGTGATATGTGTGGCATTTCTGTCCGGACCAAAAATATGGAGCGTGGACTGGTGGCTGGAGAGGTGCCAGTTCACCTCCTGGGCACTGCCGAGGTGCCCTTGAGCAATGCACCGAACCCCCCAACCGCTCGGGGCGCCTGACCAAAGGGCAGCCCCCTCACTCTGAGATCTCTCCACTTTGTGCATGTATAGGTCCTGTTTGTGCATGTGTGTGTCTTTCAGACCTGTGTGTAATTGACAAGCAAGAGTGAAAACATTGAATTTCCCCTCAGGGGGATTAATAAAGTGAATAAACTTAACTTAAACTTAAACTTATGCGTGGCTTCTCGCTATGATGCATGGTTGCGGAGAAAATCAATAGAGAAGAACAGGTGTGAATTTGGACGCACTATGCGTCGTTCGGGCCCATAGGGTTAAAGAGACATGGCTTAGCACATAAAAAGACCCAACTCTACAACTATTAGGCCAATCATCATGAAACTTGCAGAGCATGTCCACATAAGTACCTGAAAAATAACCTGAAAGTTTCATTCAAATCGACCACTAGGGGGTGCTACAAATGTGAAAAATAGATGTAGCAAATCAGACAAATCAGACCTTAAATCAGAAATGGTTTGTCCAGTCATCACAAAACTTGTAGGTTACGTATCATAATAACGTTGAATCATGTGTGTCTAATTATTTTCAAATCAGTCAATAAGGTTGCGCCACTGTGCAATGGTGTGGCCATAAATCAATTTGTTGTTTGTCCAAACATCACCAAACTTGGTGGATATTTCTAATTTAGTCATTGAGAGGCGTCCCCAAACTGTGTTCGGAATTAACTGATAAGGGGCAAAGGCATTGCTGCAGAAGGGAGTAGCCCAGTACAGATTTGGTCATAAATAAATGAGTATGTCCGATCAAAGGTGTCAGTAACGACCAAAGGTCTTGATCCTTCGCGGCTTCATCATTTAAAGGTCTGTGCTGGCTTGAACCCAGGAATCGCCGCTTGCAGCGTTAGTTTGAACATGAAATCTTCTTCTTCATACATATAATTTTTAATAAGCTGTGGTCCAAAGACCACAGCTGTCTGCCTACACTTCTGCACCATGTTTTCTGAATCCTGCAGTCACTGACCCTGCCTTTCGTCATGTGTTGACACAAATGCTCACAGGCAGACATACACACCTGTACAAGAGCGTGGAAGATCTTGAGGATCTGTTTCTGGATAAGGACAGAGAAGATGGTGGCATCTGCCAGCAGCTGGCTGATGAGCTGCTGAATCCTTGGCAGAAAGATCTGCATGGCTGCCAGCAACGGTTCCCTCTCATCTGCCTTTTTGTACCTGCGGTACACAGACAAACACAAACACACCATGCAAGCCCAAAGTATTTTAATCATACTTGCTAGTTATATTAAAATCTGGAAGGAAGGAAGTGTTAAAGCCTCCTTCCAGGATTCTCATTTAAGAACAGATTCAAAAGTACACCTGAACAAATATCTATAGTTTGCGAGATAATACACTGGATCTTGTTGGTTTCATCTTTACACGACCTGAAATGTAAATGTTGACAATTTGTGGTTTTAGGGCGGCACGGTGATGCAGTGGTTAGCATTGTCGCCTCACAGGGTTCCTGGTTTGAACCCGAAGTGGGGAGTTTCAACCCAGGCTGGGGGAGCCCTTCTGTGTGGAGTTTGCATGTTCTACCCATGTCATGTTCTCCAGGTTCTCTGGCTTCCTCCCACAGTGCAAAGACATGCATGTCAAGTTAACTGGTGACACTAAATTGGCCTTGGGTATGAATATGACTGTGAATAGTTGTCAGTCTCTATGTGTTAGCCCCGCAATATCCAGGGTGTACCCCACCTCTCGCCCAACGTAAGCTGGGATAGGCTCCAGCTCCCCGTGACCCCTAACAGGATAAGCGATTATGGAAAATTAACTGAATTAATGCGGTTTTAGTGAGTTCCATGCTTAAACTACTACATATTACATTTGTTGACTAACAACAGATGCAGTCAATGACATGAGCAACGGAACTTGGGGGCTCAGCCTCCCCACATTTACACCCCTTTCCCATGTATAGTGAAGTGAGCTGGGTGGAGGGTGTGGCTGCCCTGGACCCACAGATCTCTCGTGTTACAAGGGGACCTAATCTGCCTAACTTAACATGCCTGTTTTTGTTTAGTTGAATATGTTGCATGAAGTTTGTGTCTTGATTATGAAAACAAAAAAAAAAGTCAGACTCTGTTAGCGTTTTTTGCAGAGAGGATATGCTATGGTTTCAGGGCCAACCATAGCACAATTTCAGCAATCACACTGGTGACAAATGACATCATATTGGCATTAGACAGAAGGTATCACTGCGCTGCTCTTTTTATAGATCTGTCTAAAACATTTGATACAGTCAATCATCACTTGCTCTTGAGAAAATCAGATGCAGTAGGGTTGGATGAAAATGCATGTGCATGGTTTCAGAGCTACTTGACTGACAGGCGTCAATGTGTTAAGCTTGGCCATACAAAATCTGATTTTTTGTCAGTTAGTGGAGGTGTACCTCAAGGGTCTGTTTTGGGTCCATTGCTTTTTACTGTCTATATTAATGATATTATTCCTTCTTTAATTGGTTGTCATACCCATTTTTATGCAGATGACACAATTTTATATTGTACTGCAGATTCTGTTCAGACAGCCATCAATAACTTACGAACTGCTTTTAATTCTTTTCAAGAATCTCTAATCAAACATAAACTACTTCTTAATGCAAATAAGACAAAATACGTGTTGTTTACCCGAGCCAAAAACACTGATTTCAATAGTGTGCATTTATACACCAAAACTGGCTCAGAAATCGAGAGAGTCACAGAGTACAAATATCTTGGCATCTGGCTAGATGAGCATTTCTCATTCAAATATCATATTAATAAACTTATTTTAAAGTTGCAACCAAAAATTGGCTTTCTGTACAGAAACAAATCTTGTTTCCCGGTGCTCTCAAGAAGAGTAATAATTGAAGCAGTGTTTATGTCTGTTATGGATTATGGTGATATTATCTATAGACATGCTGCTGCCTCAACTTTGAAGCATCTGGAATCGGTCTATCATTCAGCCCTTAGATTTATATCTGGTGATAAATATGATACTTGCCACCGTGTTCTATATGAAAAAGTTGGTTGGCCCTCTCTTAAGGAAAGGCGCAAGAGGCACTGGCTTTTATATATTTTTAAGGCCTTTCTAGTCAAATTACCACCGTATATTGCACATTTGTTGGAGTGGAATTCAGGCACTGACATGACCCGTTCAGCTGAATTGCTACTATTCAAAGTTCCTCGAGTCTGTACAAGTATTGGTAAGACTGCCTTTTGTTATGATGCCCCAAGCTCTTGGAACGCACTACAACACATCCTGAAATTAGACACACTCCCTTCACTCACAGAGTTTAGGATGGCATGCATTGAGAGCCATATATCAACAAAATCCAGAAACATCACTGATTTCTCTGAACCCGAGCTCATCTGAGATGGACTGACACAGAAGCCCCGTTTCCACCAAGCAGTACTGTATGGTTCAGTTCAGTGTGGTACACATTTTTAAAGTTTCCACTGTGAACAGTTGTGGATGGTACCAATGGAACCGTTCTGTACCGTCCTCGGTCACCCCTCTGTTGGGGTACCTAGCACACAGATCTGGTACTAACAGGTGGCCCTAGAAACACTGTAGTCCGTTGACTGGTCAATAGAGGATGGTCACTCTTGCTCAGGGCCGAGTTGTAGCTGGCTTTATGTAACCTCTGTTCATACCGAGGCAAGTCTTACAAACATAAGTAAACTATAACTATGAAATAAAAAAAGTGTTTTGCTGCCTCTTGCAGCAGCTGATGACTAAGAAATAGGGATGTACCGAAATGAAAATTTGTGGCCGAAGCAGAAGCCGAATATTATTAAACGCTTGGCCGAATACTGAATACGGAGTAGCGAGTAATGAATACCAAATATCATTGTTTAGTTTTTCATTAGTTTTTGCAGATGACCCCCCTCCAGATTAGTGTTGTCTCGGTACCAAAAATCACGATACCACAGCGAAAATGAGGCAGATGTGCCTTTTGTCATTTATGAAAAGATAAATCACTTTTCTATATCAATGATATTTCAATGGAATAAATTACTTATGACTTATTCATACTTCAAAAACAGCATCAATAAGTGATTAACATAGGGGGGATCAAAATAAAATAAATAAATAAAATAAAAATCAACCAGCCACCCTCCTCCACTGACAGTCCCTTGATAAGTAATGAACAGTCCCTAAAGTGCGGTGAGGTTTGTGGACTGTTACTGCCACAAAGAGAGAAATGTCAAAGGCTCGTTTCTCCTCTGACACATCACATACCTGTGTTCGGCTGGCTCGGCTGTTCAGGTACTTCTGGGCAGTCCACACGCCAAGAAGAGGATATTATTGGAACCGACTTCTCCATCGCCGGGTAAGCCGATTGCCGCCGTATTTGACAGGAATACATTAACATTACTGTCTGTGTCTGTGACCCCCGTTCAACCCACAATCGGTGGGATTCGCCTTTCGTTTCTGCTGCTGGTTGAAATCTGTAGGCTGCTCGCACAGCGTGCTGAATGATTTAAGCCTAATTTGCTCGCTCAAAACTATTTTTAGTCGCAAATGCGAGTGCCGTGACGGACGGATCGCCACACTGCCGACATTTTATACCGCCCGTCACAGCAGGCCGTTTGATTGTGTTATCAAAACACGCCGCTATTATACGGCCTTGCTTTTAACTTATTCCACCGAATACCGAATGTGTGTTTTTTTGCAATATTCGGCCGAATATATTCGGTTACCGAATATTCGGTGCATCCCTACTAAGAAAAAAAAGAAAAACTAAGAAAAACTTAATTCACTGGGCCGACTGCTGGCAACTTTTAAGGTGGAACTTTTACTTGTTAAGTTACTCAGTGCATTATTTGACGATGTGAATCCATCAGCACACCTTAAATTTCAATATGACAACTTCAACCATTCAACCATTTATTGTCTCTTTTGGAAAAAAATAGTGTCCCGAAGCATTGTTCCTGTGGGCTATGGCAACACTAAACCCCTGTGCTTGCCGGAGAAGACTAAATGCACAAACCTATTATTTTTAAATATCCCATTGAGAGAGACTCTCAGTCCGGTCTGTACTTTGTACTGAAATTGCCGGCGTGTAACCCCGTTCTGTGGATGATAAATGAGGTGCAGACTTCCCTCTGTGTCACCAGTGATGAGGAAATACAGCGATTGCGAGATGGAGCAGTGGGTGACAACAACCCCACCCACATTTTGCTGTTTGTGGTGTAAACGCTAAACAGACCTGGGTTTAGATACCATGTCTAGGAGGTTACTTTTGGTTCCAAAGGTACTATACTGAAAGTGTTTGGTGGAAACTGGGCTGTAGTGTACAAAACGCAGAGGAACTGTTTTGGGCTTGCTTCCTGACATGGATTATTTTTGTTGTATGTGGAAATAAAACTTAAAGCTTTCCACCAGTCTGAATACTTTTTGTGGAAACACTGCAGATCTTTGAAAGCTGAGAATAGAATTATTCTCTGAGCATTGTGGTTACCTAAGCCTTATGAGGATTATTATTAGCCCACCCTCCTTTTAGACCTGTAGTTGTGATGTAAGGGCTCCCCAGGAAGGATGTTAAGAGCGGTAAGGTGGTATAGAGGAAAATTAGCAGGTTACTCACTCATAAGTTTTGACCAGCTGATAAAGAGCCAGCAGGCTGCCGTACCAGCTGCCGCTGTTGTGAGACTGCAGATACATGCCGATCTTGTCCACTATGGTGGTCCAGCGGCCAGGGAAGTCATGCTTGATGATGGCTCTCAGACACATGGTTAGCTGGGCACTACAGAGGGTGCAAAACACATGGAGTCATTTATTGCATGAATCAGTAAAGCAAGGTTATCTATGAAGTGTCTGCATACCATTCAGGAATCCCACTGTGCTCTCTGTAAATTATACAGGAAAGCAGAAACACTCTGTATTTAGTTTAAATAAAGTGTTTCATTGAAATATTGAAATATGGAGGCAGTCTACAGATTTCAATGTTACTTTTCTCAAGAGATAATTGCTAATGCATGACAAAAAGTCACGTAGCCTACTTTGTCAAAACAGGGGCAGTAATGACGAGTTGCAGCGATTAGAGAGATGGAAAGAGATTTGCATGTGAGTGTGTGTGTTCAGTCTGTGTACCGTATGGACTCTGGACAGCGGATGATGCCCTCCACTATGTGGTCTCTGATCTGCTGCCGGTCATTCTCATGGATGTTGAATGGAAAGACTACCTCGCCCAGAGATGGCTCCCTGTCCTGCCAGTACTGACTCACCATGTTCTTCAAGTAGATGGCAGCTACACACAGAGTCAGGGAGTCAGGCAAACATGCACATACAGACATAATTTTGCACTGTACTCATTCATGTTGATCTTGTTGGGATCTATGCCTTAACACAGACCTGACCTCGTAATAGATCTCCAATTAAAATATAAAAATGGCTATTTGATATAATCAATAATTATTAACAATAATTATTAATTATGTTACTGTGTGACTTAATTTACATTAAATCACCTTCCCAAGAAGGAAAAAATGATACCCAGTTAATGATATCAGTCTCATAAAGTTCACTAAACTATCAATTTAGAATTTTGATTAACAGTTAAATTAATAACCATAACCAAAATTACCATATTAATAGTAGGTTGAAGGAGTTCAGAGTTCTTGACATAGCAGAAGTTGACTATTCATTCACTCTTGTGCAATATTAAACAGACAGCAGGTATGATTCCAAATATATTTATTCATAAAGACAGCAAAGCAGATGAAACACACAAATGTGTTTAAGTGTGTGTGTGTGCGAGAGAGAGAGAGACAGACAAAGGCTGGTGTGTGAAACAAAGGGCTGTTTGGCCTACATATAAAATGGCTGACATCAGAGAACTACAAGATGGCCGACTCAAAGATGGCTTCAGATCGGGGAAGGTTTGCCTGGCCATGTGGTCAGGACAAAGACAAAGGGAAAGAAGCAGGAACTTTGAGTTGCCGTTTTGGGGTGTAGCTCTGTTGAAAGCCAATTCGTAAGTGAGTCTATGTGAATGTGATATGTGTTGCAAAGGGTCTGGGTTAGTGCAGAGGATGTTTAGTTGCTTGCAACATAGACCGCGGAACCGGGGGGGCCAGGGGGGCCATGGCCCGGGTAACTTTTGTACTCTGACATAGAGGGCTGCATTGTCCCGCCGGGACCCAAAGCAAATAGGTGTAATAGTCATTTTGATCCACACTCCACCAGTTGGTGGCGGTAATGGGTCAATTCGCTGTTTGCCAACCGCCATTAAACAGTAGAAGAAGAAGAAGAAGATGTAGCCTCGCGACAGAATGTCAACACAGGAACTTGGTGCACATGCAGCATGCGCGTTTCCACTCCATATTTATTCATAAATGGACGAATATGCCCTGAACCAGCTTTCATACCAATTTGCCGCTTGCTCAACCTGTCTGTCTGTCTGTCTGTCAGCTCCATCTGTCATGAGACAAACATGAAAGAAGATGTGCAGTTTATTGTGTTTAACCGGCGACAAGCTGTCATTACGGGCGACTATTACGCACGTCTGCGCGCTCTTTATAACTCACTGTGTGAACCTATGTTGCATAATAAAGATTTGCCCCCTCGTAATTTTTAACCGCCCCCTCAGTAACTTCATCCTGGCGCCGGGCTTGCCTTAACCTCAATCACAGCGGGAGAAGACACAAAATCAATGCATCTCTATTACTGTGCGGGCATAAATTCTCAGAGTTTTGCGGGAGCGGGCGGGAGTGGACATACACGTTGCGGTTGCGGGCGGTAATGGTCAGAAATTCAGCGGAGCGGGCAGGAGCGGGATGAAGAAAACAGTCCAGAGCAGGGCTCTACTCTGACAAACTATTTTATATGAATAAAAGCCTAAGTTGTAGCCTATCTGGGTTTTTATGAGCCAAGTCACCACACACCTTCACTCACTCTCACCAACTGCTGCTGATAAAAAAACTCCCACTGACTGCTGCATTTTGATTTGATATTAGTGTGCCTATCAAGTGCATTGTTTATCAATACGTCATTAGTGAGCGTCCCGAGCTAACGGCTGGCACCTGCGCTAGCTACATCTGGGAAAATGAAGAGACAGAAGTCGATATCTGTTTTTTTTTTCAAGTAAACAGAAAAAACAAAATGATGAAATTACTCCAGTTTCCACTGTGGCCTCAACAACAGACCCGGAGCGTCCATCTCCATCTGTTCCTAACCGAAGTCCACCACGGACTCCGGCGACCTGCCAAGCCGAGGCTAGTTGCTCTTCAAGCCAAGCTACCGAAAGCCACTGCACAAGTGAGTGCTGCGGGGATCACAAAGCCAAATCAACCACACGACCCTGCTGTGCTGATGAAAACCAAAAAGGTACAGGGGACTGGGTCTTCACAACGAGCAAGATCAGTTCAATATCAGTGGTTCAAAGATTTTAACTGGCTGACATTGTGTGAAAAGAAAGGGAAACTTTACTGCACGCAGTGTCGATGCTGTGCAAGCAAAGGCCTGGGGATTAACAAAAAAATGGAGCCTGCTTTCACCATTCATGGTTTTCAAAACTGGAAAAATGCTATACCGACATTTAAGGAGCACACCAGCAGCAAGCATCACAGAGAGTGTGTGGCTCAATTTCAGGTGTTTGTGTCACAGCAGTCCAGTGTGGCCACACGCTAGATACCCAGTTACAAGCGAACCAGAGTATCAACAGAGAGATACTAATAAAGCAACTAACTTCTCTGAGTTTTTTGGCCGGCCAAGGTTTAGCCATAGACGGTAACGACCCACAGTGCAGTAACCTGTATAAGCTGATGCAGCTGAGATCTGAGGACTGTCCTGATATCAAATGGTGGCTCAAGGAGAAGAATTACATGTGTCATGACATTGTTAATGAGATGATCCACCTGACTTCGCTTGATGTTTTACAAAAGGTTTTGTCACCTATTCGGGATGGATATTATGCCATACTCGCGGATGAAACCAGAGACATTGCTAACAAAGAACAGCTTGTTACTGTACTTTGCTGGGTGGGCGACACATACATGGTGCGTGAAGATTTTGTGGATCGTTTTGATTTGCCGAAAACAGATGCACACACAATTTTCACTGTGCTAAATGACATTTTGAGACGGTGCAATATATTGCCTGAGTTGTGCAGAGGGCAGGCTTACGACGGCGCTGCCAACATGTCAGGTCACTTGAAGGGAGTCGCTGCGAGCTTTAAAGTGCACAATCCTGCAGCTATATTTGTGCATTGTTTGGCACACTGCCTAAACTTATGCCTCCAAGACACTGGGAAAAAATGCACAGTGATTCGAGATGCACTGGATATTGTGAATGATGTAACACACCTAATTAAGCAATCCCCCAAACGAAACCATGCATTTCAGTCACTAAAAAACGAAATGAAACCCGACACACAAAACCTGCGAACCCTTTGTCCAACACGATGGACAGTGAGAACTGGCGCTTTAAAGACAGTTATTACTCTGTGCTTGCCATTGCAATGGAAGAGTTTTCAGAAGAATCCCATGATGAATGCGGTCGGAAATCTGGAGGCATTTTGGCCATGTTTGAAAAATTCAGCACCTATTTCGGTCTGCGCCTCGCTTATCTGGTTTTCTATCCAACTGAACAGCTGTCCAAGACATTACAAGCCACTAACACAATGCTACAAGACGCACAGAGTGCAGTCACCGTAACGCAAGCTTTTATTCAGCGACAGAGGTCAGATGAAGCATTTGACAGCTTCTTCAAGTCAGTGATTGAAGCCTCCAAAGATTTGACAGAAGGCCCACAGTTGCCAAGACAACGCAGACTCCCTAAACGGCTTGGGGGCGGGGATACCGAGCATGCATTTGAGAGCCCATCAGAGCATTACAGAAAACAATACTTTGAGATGTTGGACTTGCTGAATAATGAACTGAGTCGTCGTTTTGATCAGAGTGACTTTGGGGTTGTGACGGACATGGAAAAGCTGCTTGTCGCAGCGGCCTCTGGCAAACAGGTGACGCTCCCGTCTTCTGTAACGTCCCTATACGCAAAGGATTTTGACCTCGACAGTCTGCGTGCACAGTTGAGCATGTTGCCAGACACCATAAAGACATCAGGGATTCAAACTAAGTCTGAAAAAACATCAGTAAGGCTTATAAGTGAAGCAATGAATGCTGTCCCTGTGGCCAAAGAACAACAGTCAGAAGTGCACAAACTGTTGAAACTGTTTTTCACGGTCCCAGTCACTACAGCATCAGCTGAAAGATCTTTCTCAACACTTCGCCGTATCAAAACATACCTGCGTTCAACTATGACACAGAGAAGGCTTAATGACTTGATGTGCAGCCACATACACCGGGATGTTCTGGCACAAGTGGACATGACTGCTGTTGCAAAGGAATTCATCCAGCAAAATGAGCGACGCAGACTGGTCTTCGGGAAGTTCAAGGACCACTAACGTAAGTTTTTTTTACATAACCTACATGTCATTTTCTGTGGTATGGCTGGAGTAGGCATAGGCCTGTGGTGTTGGTTACTTTTCAGTAACTGCGCAGCTGCGCTTGTTTTGTTATTGGGTGTGTGTGTGTGTGCAGGCGGCTCTGCACATCAGTCTGATATGAGTGCTGACTTGTGATGATAATGAACATAATGTTGATTTAGATTCAAGGCAGCAAGATGAGTTTTGGTTGTGGTTGTGGACTGGATGTACTTTGTTGTTTGCTATAGTTTCATCTGTGCGTTTATGTGTAAATAGGCTTGGCCTGTTATGTGTGAATGTTAGAGTGGGATCAGAGGGGTTAATCTGAGCAAGCATGTGTTCGTGTTCATCCGTGTACTGTAGATGTGACTGTGTGGCGTCGGAATAAAAATAAGTGCTCCGCAACGTTATTTAATACATCAGTAATATTGTCTGTTTCAATGCATATGCCCCCCCACCCCCACCGCGTGACTTGAAATTATGGCTCCCCCTTGTTCAGATGCGTTCCGCGGTCCATGGCTTGCAAGACTCTGTCTGTGGAAAGCATTAGCAAACTAACATCACCTAGCTTTGGCCAAACCAACTAACCAATAAACTAACTGCAAACCATCACAACAATAACTCAATAAACAGCATTAAATTGCAACTGACAAAGTTAAACAGTCTTGCTTAGCCTGTACAACTGTAGTAATGCTATGCCCAATTGTTAAGTTACCAATCCTTGAATGGATGGAGGGAAGAGTTGCTTTGTGGCATGCTGTTTTTGTTAGCCAGCAGATCAAGGTTGGAAAGAGCTGTGGTTCCAGGTGCCGTCTTTGCTGTGT